TTTGTCAGTACATGAATAATTTAGAATGCGAAGGAGTTTGGAAGGTGAGATTCCCCAAGGTGTGACAAAGCTGTTTAGGGCTCAAAATCCCAAATTGATGCATAAAGAGGGGAGAATGCTGCTTCTCTCCTCCCCTTTAACGCACGGGGTCTAAAATCAACCTCCAAGGCGGACCCCCATGTCTGCCCAGCGTCCCAGCCGCAGGTCCCAGGTTCTGCCCTGCGAGATAAAGGCAACACGGTGCTGTTAGTGGAGTCTGGGCACGGTGGGATCAGTGCTAAACTGGCGCTGACACTTTCTATTTTAATCACCATGACCTCTATCAGACAGTATTGTTTTCCTGTTCTGCAAATGAGGAAACCCAGCTTTAGAGAAGCCAGTTAACTTAACAAAGGTTACACGGCTTATGAGGGAGAATCTGAACTTCAGCCGACACTCAGCCTCCCAGGACCTGCTGTGAACCACAGCGCGCTGGCCCTCCCCAGGCCCAGGGGAGAAGAAGCGCAGGCTCTCTGGCCGCTTCTCGCTCTTGGCAACCGGGGTGTCAGAGGACAAGAGCCTGTGTGCTTTGAGGACTCCCGGTTTGGAGAGGTCGTCTTGTTCACCTTGAGTCTCCTCCTTGGCCTAGCACAAAGTGTTCCATTTGGAAGGCACTTGGTAAATGTGAGCTTTGAACCTAGTGAAATAACAAGAATCCTTCCAAGGCTCTTGCTGGCCACTGTCCCTGAAGTGCCCACCGTCTGTTTTCCCAAGAGCGTATGCAGATGCTGAGGAACGTGGCATTTCAACACCGTGCACTCCAACATTTGGCACGTTGCACTGTTCTACAACTGAGTGTTCTTGTTTATTAGTTTGCATCTGAAAAATTCCCACCAAAAGATGTTGCGCGCCCACACGACAGCTTTGCAGTCGAGTTTGTGCTTCTCCCGTGTTTCCTGTTAGTCTATCCAGCTAGATCATTCCTCCGAGGGAGAGCACAGAGCGGGGCTGACAGTTGGCCACTCCTCTGAGACGCACGTGTAGTCTATGTCTTCTTACCCTCTGTCTTTTCACTTGATTTTTTAAAGTTCTTTCTACCTCCTCAGTTAGGGTAGATTATATTCTCTTGCTGCTGTTCCCTGCAGAGCCCCTCTTTTGCTGTAAAGACTGCAACACCCCTACTTGCAGGAAGGGTACACGTCCACTCCCTTGATGTCAGGCTTGGCCATGTCATTTGCGTCGGTCAAAAGAATTTCAGTGGAAGATCAAATGTCAGAACCAACGTGTTCAGGGTCGCCATCTGGTTCTGCCATTGCTCTGCTGTTAGAATGGCCAGTACCAGATAGGGACTATTTCTGCGGCCTGGGTTCCAGAGTGAAAAAGACCCAATGATAAATGATAGACTTCTGTTGTCGTGAGCTACTGAGATTTGGGGGCTGTGTGTTATTGCAGCCTAACCCAGCAAAAGTCGACAGGGGACTGGGACACCAGCAGGAGTTAATGCCGAGAAGAGGCTGTAACAAAAGTATCTTGGTCGCTGAGCTATACAGGCTGATTTAAGGGCATCTGTTCATAGAAGTGGCTGTTGCCATGCCCCGTCCCCCAGCCCCCTCCTGAGGACATGCCTCTACACACGCTAATGCCATCCTTTAAAACTCATTATTGGCACCTTTTACACTGCGTTGTGGAAGCCAATAAAATTTCCACTCCCGCTCCTGCCGCCTGCTCGATGCTGGGTCCTCTTCTTTCCCTCCCACGAAGCTGGCCAGCTTCCAGAGCCTTTGTTCGGCCTCTGCCCAGCACCTCTTTCTGTCCTTTTTTCGTCCTTTCTGACGCTAATGCTCGCTGAGCACTCACTGTGCAGGGGGCTCTGGCTAGGATCTTACTAGGGGGACAGTACCGAACAAGACAGATGACACCATCCCAGGTTCACATCCAGGTTCGGGGTGTTGAAAGCTTGTGTAATCTGGACATCCCTCTTCTAAGAACAGGAATGCGAAAGCATGAATACAAAATGAGGTACAGGTCTTGGAAGGGCCGGCGCACCTGAGGGCCCCAGAGGGCCTCACTGGCTCCCCAGTGAATGAGCTTGTGGCGTGGGGTGGGGGGATGGCTGTACAGGAAGAGATGAGATGAAGCTCTTGCCAGAGGGTGGCGAGAGCTGTGTTGAAGATAAACAAGATCACAAACAGGAAGTAACTGGGAGGCCCCTTTAGGCTGGGTGGAGACACTGCAGAATTTTATCTGAGTCGGCAGCAGCAAAGGTTAAAACTCCCCTCGCTCTTTGGGTCCTGGGAAATGACTCCCTGGGAGGGACCCCCTTCCCCGTATGACTTAGATAAGGGTCATGGGCCAGGCCAGACACAGACCCTCCGAATTCCCAGCCTTCACTCCCAGTTTGTGATGAGCTGAGCTTGTGTCCACTGATGGCGTCAGAAGCAGACTTGAGTTACGCTCCCCTCCCCCACCCCCACACCCCCTCTCCTTCCCCCACCGCAGAGCCCCGCCTGAGCCAGCCCGGCAGGGTCAATCTTCTCTGGCCTCCTTTAAGGGCACATTTTCGTCCCACGTCTCCGCACCCACTTCTTTCTAGCCTTGTTTACTGCTCGCTGCAAAGGCCCCCTTTGCCTAACCCCTGAGACCCTTACGGCCCTGGGGTCAGAGCGCTCTCCCCTCTCCCCGCTGCGGTGGTCCACCTCCAGCCCCTGCAGTGACCCTCTCTCACAGCCTCTCCCGGCCACGTCCAGATTTGCTTGGTAGTTGGTAGTGGCCAAAACAGGCCTCCCCGAGCAGGATACTGAAACAGATGGGACTGTGGTTTAAGGGCAAAGTAGGATTCTGGGAAGTATTTTTGTTTTTAAAAGTGGATATTTTCAGCCTAAAAGAAAAGAGAAGGAGGGGACAGAACTGCTGGGCGTGCCTGTGTTATTTAGAGAAAGGAGCTCAAGGAGCCACAAAGAGCCCAGTCGCTGGAGACACGGGAGCGGGCAGAGGCCTACAGAGGGCGCACGGAGCAGGGAGGCGAGCCAGCCAGGCCCTCCATGGCACAGGTGGCGTTTTATTGAGTGCCTACTGTGTGCCCTGCACTGCGCTGGGCAGTGGGGACTCAGCGGTGGTCAGAACCGGCTGGGCCCTGGCCTGGCATCAGAGGGACGACTTCGAACAGTGGTCAGTTGGCGCCGCGCCCAGCTCGGGGCGAGAGGGTCACAGGCCCACCTGGTGTTTAGCCAGTCACGGGTGGCTGAGGACCCCGAGGAAGCCGCAGTTTTACCCAAAATGTAAATGCGAACGGCTGCGGACTAGGTGTGGGCGCGGGGAGGCGGGGAGAAAGTGGTGTGTGCAGCAGCCCTGTGGCAGGTGGGGCACCTCTGCGAACCGGGAGGGCCAGCGCCGCGCGGGAGGAGCCACGCGGGGGACCGACCCCTGCCCCCCAGGCACGCGCCCCCACCTGCCGCGCAGCCCTGGCCCTGCGAGGAGGAGGTGAGGCCAGGGCCGGCCACGCGGGGGACTTCGGTGCTCACTGAAACTCCTTGGGGAGACCCCGAAGGCGTGTCCAGGGGGTGCCCGACCAGAGCCCCCCGACTCCGAGCCCGCCCTGGCGCCGCGGAGGGTGGCGCGAGGACCGGCGGGGGCCGGGTCAGCGCCGGGCGGCCGTCCAGGCGGGCGGTGGCGCCGACACCAATGTTCCCCCCAGGCGGGTGGCCCGGCCGGTCAGATCCGGGAGCGGGCGAGCGGCACGCACGGCGTCGAATAGCGAGGGGTGCCCGCGCGGTCTCGGAACCGGGCCGGGCCTCTCGGGCCAGCGGGGCGGGGCGTGTCCTTCTGACGGGGGCGTGTC